GGTCTTCAACAGCAAGCCAGAGAAGATCACCCTGAGGTATCCAGGCAGTCACAATTGCTGTTAACTGCAGTCAAGAAAGAGTTAACTTAAGAAGCTCACCGGTCTTTTTTAGGGCCATCGGACGTCGAACTACCTTGCCAACAAATATATTAGAACTTAACAAAGTTGACAGAAAACAGCTTTTAGGGGTCACAAAAATTTTAAGCATGCCAAAAGTCGCAAGAGGGTGAATTGGAAGAAAAATTTCAAGTGTATCTAATAAATACAATTTTACTCAGGCGTCAAGAAACTGACGTATAAAATTTATCGAGATTGAAACTGCAGCGTCAAAATCAATAACATAAATTTTTTGGGGGTTTAAAATCTTAACAGCTTTAAAAAATAGCCCTTTTCGTGAATTACACGGGAGAAACTGTAAATCAACGGCTTCTTATGGCCACCGATTATTTTATGGCATAAAGAACGCACGGTACTTTTCAGCATAATAATTTTTTTGAATTTTTACACCTCATTATTTGACCAAATAAACTATATGGATTCCGAAAAAATATGTTTTTAATAAGAAGATTTTTGTTCTGAGATGTATCAGGAATATGTGTAAAATTTCTAACTGAAAATGTTTCACATTACATGTCAACACACTACGGTGTTTTATTTAGTAAGTCTCGGGCGAAGCCGAGACGGGGGGCTGCTAGTGTGTTATGTGCCCAGAGTCGTTCGATTATCAAAGTTTGCTCTATGTATACCTAAAGGACACAAACATAAAAGCGTTACACGTCTGAGGGACTCAGATTCTCACAGATAATCATCCTATAAGCAGAAAAAGCCCGATGTCGTTTATTTTGTTTCAAAGATTGTCGAACGCACGACTTTTTTCGCTTCTCAGTACAATACTCTGCGCTTTCATCAAATCTTCCAATTACTATAAAATAACTTCCTACTATCTACGCTCATTTTGTCTCTAATGTCACGCTTTTAAGTATGATTTCGTTTAAAAAATTACCATTCGTATTGAAAAAGCAAAAGTCATTTAAAAATACTACAGTTATTAAATGCGAAGGAAAAAATTGTCAATCTACAAGTTGATTTATAATTTCTTCGGACCTCATATGTCAGACTGCGGTGGATGGTCATTAATTACTAATAAGGTGACTAGTTACATGTAAGAAAAACATTTACTGATTCTTTTAGATAAATTAAATTATGTCTGTTACTTGGCTTTGTTTGTTAGTTTTTATTACAATATGGCGTACAGTATTTTAGAAACATTTGAGTAATGATTAATGTACTAATATTCCGCAGATAGATGGAATCTCTTGCAGTGATACTCAGTTCAGTGTTAAAATTTTACCAATCAGAAAAATGTACGAGGTGTGATTAAAAAGTAAGGTGACTTTTTAAATTGTGCGCGCTCTTTACACTCTGAGTTAAAAATTTTTTTTTTTTTATGTTGGTACACTAGTCACGATCATATGTTCATAGTTTTGACTATATAGCATGTGTTGTTTTTATGTGAGAGACTTAAAGGTTAGACTCGTGTTTGCGTACTCGGCGATTTCTTTTGGTTGAAAATAATGGAGCAAAGAGTTTGCATTAATTTTTGTGTAAAAAATGGTATGAAGGACTCAAAAACTCTTGAAATGTTGACAGTGGCCTACGGTGAGTCAACTATGAGCAAAAAAAATGTTTATGAGTGGTAAAAGTTATTCCAAGAGAGCCGAGAAAATGTTAATAATGAACCTCGCTCTGGGCGACCCAGTACGTCAAACACCGACGAAAATATTCAGAATGTGAAAAAAATGGTGCTAAAAGATCGTCGAATCACGATTAAGGATTAAAGACATATCGTTTGGCTCATGCCAATCAATTTTGATGGATGTTGTGGGTATGAGATGTGTATCCGCGAAAACCATGATAATGCACCTGCGCACAAGTCGTTATTAGTTAGTAGTTTTTTGGCCAAAAACCCTACTTCCATCATGTCTCAGCCACCATATTCACCAGACTTGGCCCCCAGCGACTTTTTCCTCTTTCCAAAATTGGAAAAGCCCATGAAAGGACGAAGATTTGCCACGATTTAGGAGATTAAAGCTACATCGATGGAGGAGCTCAAAGCAATACCCAAAATAGCATTTCAGAAGAGTTTTGACGACTGGAAAAAGCGTTGGCACAAGTGCATTGTATCTGAGGGGGATTATTTTGAAGGGGATAACATAGTTTTAGATGAATAAATAAATATTTTTTTATAAAAATGAAAAGTCACCTTACTTTTTGATCACACCTCGTATA